CGGAAGAGCCAAGGGAAGAAGACTGAATTCAGCAGCCATATCCATTTATGTTTCATTTCATTCCAGTATCACAGTGAAGGATAAAGAGGGGCAATCAAAGTGACTGGAGCCTCACCTTTTACAATAAGGCACATAAATATCTAATGCAACATAATGTACGTGAAATTTTGTAAATTGCCATTGGAAATGAAAACAGCAGTAGCAAAGCTAGGGCCAGCTTTTTCCTGAACGTATTAATAACAAAGATCCTCAGTGGGATCTTACGTAGGCTTTAACTAGTGTAGGAAGTACTTAGCATTCTTAATGAATAGAGATTTAATTTACAAGGCAGGAGCAATTCTCAGGGTACCGGATCTTCCAGCTTTATGGCTGCTTTGTGTCACCAAACCTACAGCAAGAACTAGGAGCTGACTTTTAACACCTTATCACATAAAAGCGTCTATTTTTAGAGCACAGAACTTGTAATCTAATACTCTAAAAATACACCTGTTACTTACTTAGTCAGTTAAAACATTTCCAAATTGCTGCTTTAACAATGTTCAAGGTGAGACTACTTCTGTTCAATTTGCTTCACGGAAAAAATCTTGAATATTGAGTTTTGGAAAGAGAATTAGATTTCCTATGTTGGGCAATGACAGTGGATCCCTTCTCACCCCAACCCATACAAGATCCTACTTGGCTGATGTAAATTTAAAAACCTTTTCCCCTATTTCCAGTACTCCAGAGATATTAAAGCTTAATGATTCTTTGCAAGCAATTACCCTGGGTTAAGTAAAACACTAAGGAACTTTTTGGTGATATTGACACATGGTAATTAATGTGATTCAATTACAAGACAGTAGAGCACTAAGTAAAAAGTCAAGGATACAGTATCATTTTTGAAGTTAATGGCATTGTTGGTTGGTGTTCAAGGTCCCTTAAAATACAGTAACTGTTTCTTAGCTTGTTGAAGTGAGAAGGCTTGTTTCTTTGTTGAAAATAAAAAGCATTACATCTTTAGTCAGGGAGTATTTTCACTAACTGATGTTACCAAATTATCTTGAATACCACGTTAGTGTTGCTAGGCTCAAAACAGCCTATCTCTGAGTTTTTCCACATTTGGCTGAAAATGCCTTTGCTTTAGTAATAATTTTATGTAATCCTTAAAAAACCAGATGCACTCAGATTTACTTTTATCTCATTACACAGGAAAGAAGTGCATGCTGCTGTTCACAATGGTAACATGAAAATATATATATTATCCACCACCTACTGAAAGTATGCAGTTGCAGCATCTCTATCTTTCAAACACTATTTTTTTCAACCGCACAGCATGAAAAGGCTACTGTTAAGAGCCATGTCTGAAGTGCATGTTTTCATACACACGGAGCCACTGTGCTTTCTTTGCAGAAAAAGAATTTAGCTCTGCTTCTGTGCTTAATTGAACTAAGCAGGTATTTGGCTGTACAAAAAAGGCATCTGAAGATACACGGTTCAGACTATCCTCGTATACTTCCTTGCTCTTTCGTGAAAAAGTCCGAAATAAGCTTTTAAAATTGCAGTGCTGAAATACAAGTTCTGTTCTTGTTCTAAAAAAAATCTTTCTCATAACAACATTTTTCTTATGACAAAATATCATTTAATTGTCTATATTCAATTCCTTGTACAGCTCCCAGTCTTGCCGACTGGCATTAATTCTTCCCTACTCTTTCTAAGCACACTTTCCTTGGAAGTCTAAAACAGAAGATAGATTCCTAATCACAGGTTTCTTTTGGCTTCAAGAAAGTAAAACTCTGAACAGCGTGGTGCCAATTATCTTCACAAGAAAGTACCCATATGCTGATTATTACTGATCCTGAAACAATCAATCTCCTTGTACTCCCCTGGTAAATACCAGCATCAATAGGACGTCTGAGTTTTTAATCACATTACTACATATTAAAATGTTAACTCATAGCCGTGGGTCAGTGTGTTACAAAATGACTTCTTAAAGAAATCTGACTTGCTGATTTGTAAACTTGATTTTCATTAAAAGATTAGTTAAAATGTATGCTTTCGAAGTCTGGAAAATCATTCTGTGCTGCTGCATTGAGTTGGAAAAATGGGAGGTCACAATATCTGACAGTAGTTATTTATCCCTGTGAAATCACATCAGAGGCTTCAAGTTTACAGGCAAAGTATCAACTCCCTGTGGTATCCTGCTGTGGTGAAAGGAGTTGCCTGTTGCCAAATCCTCCCCCCCAGCAAATCTATACGGAGAATTTGGTATGAGCACTGGGAATTAAATTACTTATATATATTAAAAGTGATGGAAAGAAATAAAACCAGCAGAAACTAGCCACAGCCAGACTACGCATGTACTGATGCCTGGTACTAAGTCCACGTGATTTTTCTTGTGTTTTCCTAAGTTACTCCTTGTTAGCATACACCCTGGATTACAGGTTACCCCCAAAAGGTGGAAGGGGACAACTGGGGCAACAGTCTAGCTGTATTCAAAACTGACTTCTGAAACTGCTGAATAAGCCCTCAGTCAAGTGGCTCTGCACACACAGCCCTCCATGCTTTAGTGTTGCGGGGGAATTGTGTAGCTACACAAGACAGGGATCGCCTGGGGCAAGGCAGGTGGTTTGGTTTTTTACCTACTACACTGAGTGTCTATTGACTCACATACCCTTTTCTCTGTTCTCAAGCATCTGATTTTTAATATTTTTGATGTTTTTCCTGCACATCCTCCTTTGGAAGCCAAATGTGTTGGAAGAGCTTTTATTAAATCTGTAATATATTGACAGAATGATTTAACGCAGTTGAGAAGACCTATTTGAGATCTTTTTCCATCGTGCACCAGGACAAAAATACAAAAATGTATAAAACATTTACTGCAATTCACTACCAATCCATTCTAAGGGACGAAGTAATGGACAACATCATTGTCTCCTTACATACATTTCTATTGCTCATTTATCTAATATGATCTCTGTCCAGTTGTGCCACATTGATTAAGACTATTGATGTGTGATGTAATCTTCCTTCTGGAGGGACTGGTACAACAATGTCCCACCTTGTCTCATATTTACAGTCATAGATCTTACCTGCCACACACAAAATCAGATCACTGCTCTGCTCTAAAATTTGAAAGCTCTGGAAACCTCCTCTTACTGCAGAGCTCTCAGTACAATTTTACCTTCCTCCTAACAACTGGAAAGACCAGGGTTCATAGTCTACCCCCATCCACTTTTCTCTGACTAATCTGATTTATCCACTTTTTCCGAGTACCATAAAAAGAAATGGGAGGGCCATCTGCTTCTTACAGTCAGAAAGCATCACCATGGTGGTCAATGGGAAGCATGGGCCATGCTGGAGAAAGTGATTTAACAACACTAAATGACAGGACTTGAGAGAAAGGAATTGTGCATCTCTGAGACAGTCCTCCTCTCTGTTTCACACTCCTGGCTGCACAGCCTGCTCCTTTCCCATGCCAGCTCTGGCACTTCTCTGCCCCTTCAAAAGAGCTGGGTCTGCCACTTACATGCCAGAAGCCTATTTGTATTTTTTAACAAAGCCATTTTCTGCTGCCGTAGTGAACTGACGTGTCCTGGTCTTGCATGAGACAATCCCTGCCGTGGGCACGGGGACGCAGGGAGCTGCACGGGGGGGAGTGGGGGCAGAGCAGGACTGTCCGCCTGGCAGCAGGGAGCTGCCACACTGGCTCAGGCATTTTGTGAAACCTCAGTAAATTCCTGCGAGCTGATTCACTATGACTGGTTAAGCCAGGATGTGACAGGATGCTGTATTTTAGCTTACGCCTTCAAGAACTGGATGCCTTTAAAAGCATTAAGATTTCTACCCTTCTGCATATTCTGACCTGTCAGTACAAAGGGTTTCGCTTTGCCTTAACACTGACTTTGGTCTGCAAGACAGGCGCAGCATCAAGCCCTTTGCACAAACGGGAATAAGGAGAGTAAGGTCTCGCCTCCCCTGTCTTAAGACAGAAGCCAAATGCTCTAATCTAATGCTTCTCTCACACAAGAAGGGCGATTACTTTGCTATTGAACATTACCTTCCTAATGGCTTGGGTTGGTTGCTAATTTCAGTGAGAGTTCTGCTAAAGGAAACAATCTGGTTATGGGCTTTTGATACCTGTTTTAAACTTATACTAGAGAAGATAGAACCTGAACTCAAAATACTGTCAAACTGTAGCAAATACAGAATCTGAACAGTAGTAAAGTTTAAATATTCGTAATCTGTCTGTCTTCTCATTCACACATACCTTTTTTTTCCATTTTATCAGAAACTTTTCCTCCGATTGGTGAGTAAGTAGTATCCATAGATTCTGCTCCTTTATTTCCTTTGCTAACTCCATTTTCATATAGCTGCCCTTCAACAGGCTGTAGTTGCCAGGTTAAACCAAACAAGTGTACTGCTGCAAAAAAATGAAGACCAATTAATGGATGTCTAAGCTACACCACCTTCAGTCAGACTAAGAAAGAATGCTGTGACCCAGTTTCTGCAAAGTCAAGTATTACTTCGTTCTGTTAGTAATAAATCAGAATTTCAATGGGTCTAATGAGCAATTTACTATTTTACCTTAAAACGCAATGTTTAATTAGTTTCCACACTTTCTTTTGGAGCTCAGCCAGGTCAGGGTGATGAATTTCTACAGCAATTAATAGCAATACTTGCAATTAAAAGGATAACAGTTGAATGAATTTAGTATTGTGTGACAGATTCTAATGCTACATCAATGTTGTCCCTCAGCTTTCAACTGTCAAACTGCTCAGAGTCTGTTGATTAAAGCACTGCCACCAAGTAAAACTTCTCACCTTTCCAACCCAGTTGTAAGTGAAACTGTGCCTACTGCATTCCCGAATCTTTTCACTTAGGTTAAACATTAGTGAAAACACTGACTCCATAGATTTACTCTAGAATTACACTGCAGATAAAAAACTGGCTCTCGATCTAAAATATATGCAATTATTCTACAACACATTTTAACAGAAATATAGTTGTTATTTATGTATGCACTGGGAAATCTACTAAATTAATCCTTTTATGAAGTTATAAACTATCTTTACTACCATACATGGGGGCTGCCTGCTCCACTTTGCCTGCACAGCCATTCACTTTTTCTGCTTTCCTTCCTGCGTTTCTGATCTGAGGCATTGAAGGATGGCAGGAGAAAGATAACAACAGAGGATCTTATTTTAAGCATAATATGATAGTACTGCAGTCATTCTAGACAATTACCCAGGGCCTTACTGAGGAGGGCAAATTCTTCCAAGGAAGAGGTTGCCTTAGCACTGAATTAACTCAGCAGGGAGAAGTGATGACCCACTAAAATATGGATTGAGGATACCCCCCACTGAGAAGCTGAAATTGTCACATAAAGAGCAAAACCCGAGGAGCAGGCTCTTTAGCCACGTGCAGCAATTTGCACTGAGTAGGATCTGCCCACAGTGGGAGCCTAAAAGGCAATGCATTGGCTCTTCCTGAATCATGTAGGAATGTCAGAGACTCTCAGGAGAAGCAAGTGTGATCTAGAACAGGTCTTGCATTTAGAAAGTACATGGTTTTATTTTGCACTTGCACATACTTTACGGAAAAAAAAAATCTCAATACAAACAGGAGACCTAAAGTCTATTATCTATTTTCTATGTGTTTGCTCACAAACCTCCCTTGCATGCTGAAAAGTTAAATTACAAAGCAAAACCTGATGCCTTCAACGGGTTCCTGGCAAGGGCTTGCCAAAACTACCATAGGAATGCAAAGCTGCCAATCTACAATCATTAATTCCAGATCTGTGCACTCCTGGATCACTCAGCCACAGATACATGATCCAAATCAAGCAAATGAGAGAATTTCTATCAAATTAGTGAGGTGACAGTATTTCTTACACATTTCTATTTTTTACATAGGCTTCAGGAGAAGGGAGCCAAATTTACTGAATTCACAACCCACTGTTTCACCATCAGATCTGGGCTCTGGAGGCACACCACTGGACTGGACACTAAATTCTCACTCCCCAGAATAGATACTAGAAGCTTACTCCAGTGTTAGTAGTGAGATCTCAAGACAGAGACTTGCCTGGATTGCTTCATATTCCATGGACTTGAAATTGTCAAGGGACCATGCTAAGACTTTGAAAAGGGTCTTGCAGTCAGATCACACAGACCTAAGCTCTGATCTCCGAGATTATTAGTGCAAGGCAGATTACTTCTACGAACAGCAGATACAACAAAAAAACCCATGCCTTGACATCTCTAGAGCAGGCAGCTCTTGCTCCCGGCTTGAGCTTCTGGACATGGTTATGATTTAAATTGTTAATAACAACAAAAAGGAACAAACTTCAGTGGGACTGATAACTAATGGATGTACATTTCATTTATACTAATGCAAATAATTATATCAGCACTTGAAACAGATCAACACTAGATGCAAAACATAACTGCACACATCAATAAGCTTTTAGTGGTTACAGAATCACGAATACAATCTAGTTGCTTTCTTACACTATTTCCCTTGTTGCTATTATTCATTTCCTAAGACAGCATTTGCATGTGCTGCAGAGGGTATGTCACAAAGCAAGGACTGAATACGTAATGCACCTTTTTCCTTACTATATGTCTTTTCCAGATTACATACATTATGCATTTTGTCATCCATTCGCACCAATTTGAATAGTTTGCTTGCTTTGTCTTCCTTCAGGCTGGGAAAGTGCTGTTGTTTTTATAGTTTGTGCCAAAGCTTGGCAAGCTAGCAAAACTATTTGTTTGACAGTCAGTTTCCTCCCTGAGAAACACCAACTGTATTGTAGAGATGATGGTATCTGCCAGCCTTGGACTTCTAGTCCATGGGAGATGCCACAGGATACTGCTAAACCAGCTTCAAGTTGAACAACGTGCAAGACTGAGTGTTCTAACAACAAAGCACATTGCTATGAAAATAAGGTCTACTTGAATTAAGCTGAATGACTTCCATCTCTGCAGAAACCTGGTCACCTTGCAGTCTTAAAATCAATCTGATTTTCATTACATTACCTATAGCTCTTGAGAAATTACCTTCAGATCCAGATATCACTCTGGTAATAACCAGACCACATACACCCATAAAGCCATTAATTCTTAGAGGTACCTTTTTCAGAAGTTAACTACAGGCAATAACGTTTATTTAGCGGACACAGAGCCTTAGCTTGCCTCTTCATTTTCTGTGATACTTTTCTTTTACCTAGGGTATACATAATTCCCTACAAAGCTTGTGTCTCCTACAACATATGTACATCATGTTTTAAATATACAGATATTTCACCAAAGAAGATTAAATAAAACTTTCAAATCTCTCTCTCTCAAATCTCTTCAGAAATAAGTAGGCACATACTTAATTTCATTAAAAAGCTCAAAAGAACTTCTCTTTTGAGTCATTCTCTCTTTGTTTTTTCTAGTGAATTTCTGGCTTTTGCTTTTCCCCTTTTACACAAAGGGGCACAGAAAATGCTGCGGAATTCAACAGTGGGCCACAATGTCATTTCCCACAGCATAAATCCATTTGTACATCTGTACTCCACAGACCAAGTAGAAGATGACACCATCACTCTGTCCAACTCGGGACTGGGCTGGGTAAAAAGGAGGGAGATTCATTTTCTGACGAAGGTCTCCGCCCTTTCCTCAAAGTGCAGTCTTCCAGACTGATCTTTACACAGAAAGACCTTGACTGCAGCACTTTTGAGGGCTGGCTGCTGAGTAACAGTACCAAACCCCACCATTATGACTAAAGAGGCATTATTGGACGTAGCCTAAGTTCCCACAGAACCGAAAAACCAGCCTTTGAGGTTTGATGACTACACTGATATTACAAAAAAAGCAAAAGGTACTTTGGCTCTGCATACCTGGCATTCCAGAACAATTCTGCAATCAGATACCCTGTATTTTGCAGCACCTAAAATACCTCAGCTGCTGGTAGGGTGCATAAGGTCATCGATGAACTGCTACAGTTCCAAGCAAAAACCAAGGACTACCGGGCAAGCGGAGATTAAACAGCTTGTTAGCAGCATCACTGTGCTTCACAACTGCAAAACTCATGCTTTAAGTTAGAAAGGGCTGTGGTGAGTCTTCAGGAACATCAGCCCATAACATCCCTTCATCTGGGCCTAACTGAAAACACTGAGTGCCAATATTGTCCCTGCTGGTAGCAACCGTGCTTCTTTACCTGGCATTCTTGAACTTCCAACTTGATTTCTCTGTTTCCTTGGTTCTTCCATCCTACTGCAAAGCTCATCTGAAAAGATATTCTTTCTTGGCTTGCTGGAACCTCCAGTGTATTCCCCCCTCTATCATTACATTATTACTTTGTTCTGTGTTATTTATGAGTTGCATTCTGCTCCGAGCAGAGTTGTACACTGCTTTCGCTGAGGTGATCTGGAGGCAGGCAAATATATCTGAAGGCAAAATTTTACCTTCTTTACAATTGAGCTTATACGATAGATGCTAAATTTGGAGGAGTCTGCAGTCAGTGGAGCTGAAAAGACTGAAGGATGCCACAGGATTATGGTGAAACAGCTTCTTCCTCAGTCACCGTGCCCTTGCCAGGCTCCACAGGGGAGCTGCCTCTGGGTAACTTTAAACGACCTCACTCTCGAATACAGAAGATTCTACTCATAGTAGAGAGATTTTCTTGGCTAATTTATTACGTTTCTTAGGTAAAAAATAATTATTAGGTATAAAACAGATCTCTTGCAGGAGAAGATAAATTAAAGGCCTACATCTTCTACCCTTTCCATAAATTTCCTTCATGGAACAATGACATGAAAAGCTAGCGTGACTTCATGCTGCCTAAGGGATTTTCTCGATCCAGAGGCAGGTTTTTAGTTGCTTCACATTACTACTGTAAGTGAAACTAGTCGGGCCCTGTTCGGAACCAAAGCTTGGGTCTTCACCTCTGAAGTAAATGGCCAGATTGCTTATTTTGTTCAGCATTTAAATAAAACAAACTGACACTTCCAGATAAACTAACTCAGTCCCTGCAATTTTGCAGCATACTTGAGTAAATATTCACAAATATATAAGCATTCTTTTCAGAACACACTTTGTAAACTGGATTAACCCACCATCTGCTACGAAGCCAATGATCTAATTTAATTTATTCTTATCTACCTTCTGTGTAAGCACAGCTTGTCAACTCCTGTGCTACACGTTTGGCAGAATATGTATAAGAGGCTTGGCTCCAGTGCAGAAGAGACTCTCGGTAGTGAGGAGATGTCAAAAAAGTCCTGTGCAATAAGTACTTATCAACCCGCAAGCGAACTTCAGAGGACAAAAATGCTACAAATGTGAAGGCTCTCCAAACTGCTGACCTCCACTAAAGGCTTTTGTTTAGCTTTCTCTGCTGTGCCCAGTTATTTTACACAATCTCAGTAGATCATCCCCCTGA